TTTGACTCCATTTTTAAAACGGTATTTATGTATTGTGTGTGTAGACTACGAGACATATGGTGGGGGGAGAGGGCAACCTGCGGGGTCAGTCCTTTACTTCTTCCAGGAGGTCCTGAGGATTGAACTCAGGTCCTCAGGCCTGTTGGTGAGCACTTCGCCTGTCATCTGGAGATCATTTTTTTCCCCGAGACACAGTTTCCCTGTGTAGCCCTGGAACTCACTCTGTAGACCAGGCTGGCCTTGAACTCAAGAGATCCACCTGCCTCTGCCTCCTGAGTGCTGGGACTAAAGGTGTGGCCAGCACCCGGTTCCATTTGGAGATTTTAGTCTGCTTACAGACATATCAGTGGTGCAACTGAAGATGACAGGGTTCTGGGTTTTGTTTTCCCCAGGTGGATTAGACAGGATAAGAAAAAGAAAGAAAAAAAACAAACAAACATAAAAATTCCACCCCCAAACCCTAGTACTATGGAATGGCAAGATCATGGGAAACTGTCTATGATACAAAGTCCTGTGGTAAAATTAGACCAGCCGGGTGTTAACATGAACAGGGCACATGTATGAAAAATCTGACAGCAAGAAAAACCCACTAACATGAAGCCACTATTTTTAGTAAGGACTGAAGTCACTGTCATTCTCCACTTTGTCCTGTTCAGGGAATCCAGTGGCTTCATGATCAAAGGACACAAAGAACAGGGCAGCTTTCCCGTCCACCACACTCAAGTCTGTGGCTCTGGACGCTGGTCCCAGGCACACTCTAGGTGCCATTCGGAACAGCTCCACCTCAAAGGGAATTCTGTGCCCTTCTGATCAGGGGACATCTGGCAGTGCCAGGAAACACTTTTCTGCAATGATCAAGAGGAAGCAGCTGCTTCTGATGTACCAGGCAGTGATCGGGAAAGAGCTCTAACTGTGTCCAGAGGGCCTTAAGGTCACTTCGGGTCCCCTTGGAGGGCAGCAGTGTACTAGGGAAGGAAAACCATGGTTAGGACGCCCTCCCTGGGGAGCTCAGGGACTCAGGAGGATCCAAACTGGCTCACGCCAACCCAGCGCTGTCCCTCAGACACAAGTCCTCCATGGCAGGGTGATGACTGAGTCACTACACGGCACAGAACATAGCCTTAGGCAGCTGCCCATTCTGCCTTTTATTTTAAAGAACCAAAGAACGTCAGGGATGGGACCAACCCAGCAGGAGCCTCATGGGGTGCTGGGCCCCCTTGTGGCACATGCCACAGCACTACCTTAAATTCTAATCATGTCAACCAGACAACTAGAAAAGTCTTACTCTTTTGCAGAATGGAAAAATAAGGAAACAATTGTCACTGCTCACGATCCCCAGACTTCCTTCTACTGTTCAACACAAAGCACACACAACCAGGTAATTCTCCATATGCACAAGCGGTCCACACACTGTACCAACGATAACACCTGTTCACTGCAGCTGAGGGTGACCTTGAACTTCTGAGCCCCCTGCTTCCACCTCTTGAGTGCGGGATTAGAGATGCCCATAACCAAGCCTAATTTTTGTGCAGTGCTGGGGTGGAAGCCAGGTAAGCACTAACCGACTCAGTACAGCCCCAGCCCAAGCATGGCTTTTTTGAAGACAAGGTCCTTCTTTATGTATACAGTGTTCTGCCTGAATGTATGTCTGCAGGCCAGAAGAGGGCACCATATCTCATTACAGATGGTTGTGAGCCACCATGTGGTTGCTGGGAATTGAACTCAGGACCTCTGGAAGAGCAGTCAGTGCTCTTAACCTCTGAGCCATCTCTCCAGCCCCCAAGGTCTTTCTATGTAGCTCTAGCTGACCAGAAATTTGCTGGCTCACCCCTTACCCCTTAAAGGCTGGGAATAGAAGGCATGTGATATCATGGTCAGCCCAAGTTTTGTTTATTTACTTTTCTATATTTATTTATTTGTTTTGAGGCAAGGTCTCACTATGTTATTTATTCATTCATCCATCCATCCATCCATCCATCCATCCATCCATCCATCCATCCATCCATCCATCCATCCATCCATCCATCTATCTATCTATCATCATATACCTTTGGCTGGCCTGAAACTTACTATGTAGACCAGGCTGGCCTTGAACTCAGAGGTGGGCCAGCCTCTGCCTGCCTGCCCACCATGTCTCCCCTAAGTACTTTCTTAATATTGTCCACTGTCATCACAACCACGTCCAGGTCCAATGTCTTCCCACACTGCAACGAGCCCACTACACAACTTCCCACCGTTTGTCTCCCAAGTTTGTGCCACCATCACTGTGCCTCTAGCGTTGGCATTCTGAGAACCTCACACAGTGGAGCACACAGTGGAATTTTCCTGCTTTTGTCTGTGTGTATAACAGGGCATCACTGTGGTGCATGCTGGTCTCATGCTGTACGGGGCAGAGGGTGGAAGGCAAGAACCAGCTCCTTCTGAAAGCTATCTGCTGACCACTGGGTGGGGTGTGTGATTACACTTACACACACACACACACACACACACACACACACACACACACACACACACCAGAATAAATAAAAACAAAGTAGTCATGTGCTATATAGTTCAGGCCCACTAGGTTCAGAGCAAGACCCTGACTATCTCGCACACAACAGCAGCAGCAGCATACCACTACCAGTTTCCCCAGCACAGTTCTACCAAAAGGACAGCCTTAGTATGCATGCCCTGCCTTGATGGCACTCAAAAGAACTAACTCAGATTGGCCACTGGGTGGCACTATTGGATCATCCCCGGAGAGCACAGGAGGGCCAGAACCTGTTCGCTGAACACAGCCAAGTCAATGACCCACTAGAAATAGAAACAAGACCACAGCCTTGAGCGATGCCATTCAAAACCCAGGATCCAGTAGAAAATGACTTGGCTTCTGAAGAGCCAGAAGCCTAACTGGTACAAGACAAACAACACAAGACAAGACCCAGACGACAGGCCAGGGGCCAAGGCCAGGCCAGGCCAGACATTGGAACTAGGCAGCTGTGCTGACTGGTGTTTTTTTCATCTTGACACAAGTCAGTCATCTGGGAAGAGGGAACTTCAAATGAGAAAATGCCTGCAGAGCCTGGCCCCTAGGTAAGTCTGTGGGGCATTTCCTGATGAATGATTGATGTGCCAGGGCCCAGCCCACTGTGAGCAGTGCAGGGCAGGCAGTCCTGGGTTCTATAAGGAAGCAGGCTGCACAAGCCACAGAGAACAAGCCAGTAAGAAGCGCTCCTCCATGGCCTCTGCATCAGCTCCCCGCTTGAGTTCCGACTCTGACTTCCCTTCACGCTGAGTACAACTATAAGCTGAAACAAACCCAAGTTGGTTTGGTCATGGTGTTTTATCACAACTACAGAAAGCAAACCAAGACAGCATCTGGTTTAAATTTTTTCCAGAATGGAAGAGAGGCCCCGTCTTGAAATGAATGGGAAGGCAGTCAGGCATGGTGGCGCTGGCACACTCCTTTAATCCTAGCACTCAGGCAAATCTCTGTGAACTCAAAGCCAGCCTGGTCTATATGAGTTCCAGGAAAGCCAGGGCTACACAGAGAGACCCTGTCTCAAAAATATCAAAACAGAAACAAATGAAAACAACGAACAGGACGGTCAAACTGCAGCAAGGAAATGGGGAGCCTGGACGAGACTAACGGGGGCTTTCAGAATTCCCTATAAACCACGGCACGGGAACAAAACCCACAAGACAGGACCGGCCACAAAATGGAGACAGCATGGGGGAAGACAGCAGTGGGTGGGCGGTTAGGACTATCCAGGTGGACAGAAAGAGATTTCCTTCCCCCACCCGATATGACAAAAACCATGCAAGAGAGGACATCTGTGGAGGACGTTCCCACGTCCCGTTTAAGATGGTGAGACACTAAGTGGACTGTGAAAGCAGCCTGTACAGAAATCCCCAGAACAGAGCTTCAAGTCTATGAAGCGAAGGGAATTGAAAACACAAGCTGGACTTCACAGTGCAGGTCTGTAATCACAGAACTTGGGGGGTAGAGGTAAGGAGGGTCAGAGTGCAAGGCCAGCCTGGGCTACATGAGACTCTGCCTCAAGCAAAACAACAAATACTAAAACAAACAAACCAAACCCACAATAGATGGCTCAGTCGGTGAAGGCTCTTGCTGTCAAGCCGGACGACCTCCGTTTGACCCCTGAACTCACTGGCAGAATCCTGTACTTAGGAGGTGGAGAGGGTGATGGTTCACTCAGCCTCGGTCACACAGCAGGACTGAGCCAGGCTGCCTACATGGACCCCGTCTCAACAACTAACGAACAAGAGGATGGGAGGCGGGTCACTCAGCACAAGGACTTGCCTTGCTAGCATGAGGACCTGAGTTTGGACCCGAGCACCAATGGAAAGAGTGGGCAGGGTGGTGTGAGCTTGAAATCCCAGCTCTAGGGAGACAGGAAGGAGGAACCCTGGGGCTGGTCAGCCGGCCGGCCTAGCGAAATCAGCCAACTCCAGCTTTAGTGGAGTTCAATCGGGGGAGAGCAATGGAAGAGAAGCTGACACTGGCCTCTGGCTTCCACGGGCACAGGCACACATGTACAAACACCCAAGAATGTACATATGGATGTGCACATAACTACAAAACAGAAGACTTCCAGGTGCTGAGACAGCCCTCAGTCCTTCCTGGGGGTGGGGTGGGGGGTGTGAGCAAGGTAGAGAACTGGAGGGCAGCTGGTGGGCAGCTGGAGGCACCTAAGGAGCACAGGCAGTGTGAGGATGGGGACAGAGGGGTGACACTGGTGACCAGAAACCCAAAAGCTACCAATAGCCTACTGTGAGCTGTCTTTTCTGCTTAAGCCAGTCCAGCTTGCTTTCTTTTTGGTTTTTTGAGACAGGGTCTTTCTACAGAGCCATGACTGTCTTGGAATCCACTATGTAGGCCAGGCTGGCCTTGAACTCACAGAGATCCACCCGTCTCCGCCTCCTGAGTGCTGGGATTAAAGGCGTGTGCCACCGCTGCCTGGCTTAGTCCTGTGGCTTTCTGACATGACACTCACAGATCAGCTGCCACCTAGAGACGGTGACTGGCACCGAGCGACGTGGACACAGCTCACCTTCCTTCTGTCTCTTCTGTTCAAGTTTCATCTTCTTCGCCATTAACTTCTTCTCTTTCAACTTCTGGCTACACATGGGAGACATACACAGTGGTTACTTCAGTGGGTGTTCTGGAAAAACACCTACTTATGCCATCTTTATAACAAAGCAAATGTTTCAGCGACGGCTGCAGAGACAGCTCAAGTTAGAGGACTCGAGTTCAGCTTCCAGCATCCACGTCAGGCAACTCAGAACTGTGTGTGCAACTCCAGCTTCGCTTCTGGCCCCACAGACACACATGCACTTAAAAATGAGACATCCTTTAGAAAAAGTGATTCGCTAGCCTGTCATTATCCACTGTTTTCACTGAAGTAAGTAGAGCTCAAACTCTGAGGAGTAGGCCGAGTGTGGTGGCTTATATCTGTAGTCCCAGAATCTGGTGGGGCAAAGCAGAAGAATCAAGAGTTCAAGGCCAGCCTGGAATACATAGTGAAACCTTGTCTTTAAAAAAAAGGTGTCTACCCCCTAAAAAAAGTCACATGGGAAGTTTGCTTGCAAGAGTCTCAAAAATTCAATGTTCAAACGTAGAAAGGAAACTGAGGCAGGGGATCAGTGTTCAAGGCCAGCCTGAGCTATACAGCAAGACTATCTCAAAAGGCAAACAGGAACAAATGCAGAAATGTCGGGAGACAGGGAAACCCACACAGTCACAAGCTCCGACTCGTACCTTTGGGAGATGTAAGAGGCTGACATGAGGGACCTGTGGCTTCCAGGGTATTGCAAGAAGTCACTGCTCTCAGTGCTGCTCATCTCAGGGCTGGCCTACCCAGAGCCCTGCGGGCCGCACAAGTGAACTTTCTGTTATCTGTTTAGAGGGGCTGTTTCTTCTCTTTCTTTTCTTTTAGTTTTTCGAACCAGGGTTTCTCTGTGCAGCCCTGGCTCTCCCCGGAACTCACTCTGTAGACCAGACTGGACTAGAACTTGAGATCCACCTGCCTCTGCCTCCCGAGTGCTGGGATTAAAGGTGTGCGCCACCACTGCCCAGCAAGGGATTGTTTATTTATTTATTTGGTCTTTTGAGACAGAGTGTCCCTGTGCAGTTTTGCTATTTATTTATTTATTTATTTATTTATTTATTTATTTATTTATTTATTTATTTATTTATTTACTCATCCATCCATCCATCCATCCATCCATCCATCCATCCATCCATCCATCCATCCATCCATCCATTTCGTCTTTTGAGACAGAGTTTCCCTGTGGAGTTTTGTTGCCTGTCCTGGATCTCGCTCTGTAGACCAGGCTGGCCTCGAACTCACAGAGATCTGCCTGGCTCTGCCTCACAAGTGCTGGGATTATAGGTGTGTGCTACCACTGCCCGGCTGAGGGTTTATTTTTTAAAGATTCATTTTATTATGTGTGTCTGAGTGTAAGTATGTGCACATAAGTGCAGTGCCCATGGAGGTCAGAAGAGGGCATCAGATCCTCTGGGGTTAGAGTTACAGGTGGTTGTGAGTTGCCCAACATCACAGACATGGGAGATGAACCCAGACTTCTAGAAGAGCAGCAGGAGCTGTAAGCTATTGAGCCGTTTATTCACACATTTGTGAGTGGGGTGTTGTGCATGATGTGTGTGTGTGTGTGTGTGTGTGTGTGTGTGTGTGTGTGAGACTGGCACGTGAGGAGGTCAGAAGACAACTTTTTTATTTTTTAGTGCCCCCCACCCCTAGATGAGGTTTCTCTGTGTAGCCCTGGCTGTCCTGGAACCCACTCTGAAGACCAGTCTGGTCTCAAACTCACAGAGATCCACCTGCCTCTGCTGCCGAAGTGCAGGAGTTAAAGGCGTGCGCCACCGTGCCCAGCTTGGGGACGACTTTTAAGAACCACCACGAAGGTTCTAAGGACTGAACCTCAGGCTTGGCAGCATCTCCACCGGCTTTTCTCCACGTCACCAACCCTTTTGCTTTCTTGTTTGTTTGCTCTGGGGTGGGGTCTTGACATTTGGCTCAGGCTGGTCTTGAACTCCTGGCTCAAACAATCTCTGCCTTGGCCTACCTAGTAACTAGGACCCCATACCTTCATCCCAACACCCGCTGCTCTAAGGACTTGGCTCATTATCCACCATCCACTTTCCCACCTCCAGCTGCAGGCCACAGTGATCACGAAAGCCCTTACCGCTTTTTCCGGCGCTTTGCAGTCTGCTCCTCGGCAGCGATTTTATTCTTTTCTAGTCTCTTCTGAAACTCTGCATCCAGTTTTTGCTGAAAACACAAAACATCCCATCACTCAGACATACCCTGAGCTGGACAGGCTTTAGGAAGTGTAAGGGTTCAAGTTCCACAGGCACACCACAGGGGTGCCATAGGTACCACCCAGGGCTCCAGGGCCACTTTACCCTTAAGAGATTGCTCAGGTGGGACAGGTAATCAAGACACAGTTCTCTGATGGCAAAGGAACACTGTTCACAGAAACACCACTTATGAGACACAACCTGAGAGAGAAGTTAGGACGGAACTGGTGTGGGTGCAGACAGTAAACGGGGAGGAGGGGGAGAGCAGTACAGGGGGAAGGGAGGAGAGAGAGGGAAGGGGAGGGAGGAACAGAGAGCAGAGAGAGAGAGGGAGGGAGGGAGGGAGGGAGGGAGGCAGGCTAAGAATGAATGAGAATGAGATGGGAGACTCTGAGGACAGGGGTAGCTCTGACGGCCTGCACTGGAGCCACTACCCAGAGCTCAGCAGAAGGGAGGGCTAGAGGACAGGAGCCCAGGAGTCAGCCCTAGTGCCCAGTGTATAGTTACGAAAGGACTGATTCCAGAGCAGTACAGAAGGATGGGTGGCTCAGTGGGCAAGGCATGTGGCATGTGTCGTACGGCACTGTCCTGCTTGTGAGAGATGCGCAGGGCTGGGCCTGTCGCCACTCCCTCACAGCAAGAGGACAGGGGGATCAGAGGACCCTCACTCAGTGTCCAGCCACCCCCCCAACCAGCTGTATGTAAATCTGCCATAACCACACACAGCCTTGAGGTCTCAGGGAGGGGCTAGGGTATAAAGGCCGGGACAGACGAGAAAGATGGCGGGGAAGGAAGCCATCTTTCACGCGGGATGAAGACTTTCCAGTACGGTGCTTCCCTCAGTAACCCCTCACCATGCTGGTAAGAAAGCCCCGAGAGCTCACTGGTCCCCGGGAAGAACTGTGGTTTGTCACCGGGACCTTGGAGGGAGAGGCCAGATACTGCCTCCTCCCTCTGACTCGAATATTCTTACAACAGCACACAGGTGTAAGGAATGAGTCTGGATCCACAGAACCCATGTCAGAGGTGGACGGGATAGTCTGTGATTCCGGTGCTTAGGCTGGAGATGAGCACACAGGAGGGGCCCCGAAGCTCAAGAGCCAGCTCGCCTGGTGACGGCTGCTCAATAAAACCCACACCTGCACACTGCAGAACAAAACCAACCCAGAACGCTTCCCGTTGCTCTGCTCTCTCAGGCTCACTGTGACTCTGCAGGGTTGAGGATTAAATCTAAGCCCTCATACAAGCTAGGCAAGGGCTTTACCACCAAGCCACATCCACAGCACCTGCTTAACAGTTTTTGTGAGGTTGTGTGTGTTTACACATGTGCACGACAATGTGTGTTTAGGATCACATATATGTGAGAGCACATGTGTGCACATGGCTTCAAAGCCCGAGGTCAACTTCAGGTGTCATTCATAGGCTGCCATTTGCCTTGGCTTTTCAGACCTGGGAATCACTGGTTAGGCTAGACTGGCTGGTAAGTAATGCTCAAGGATCTGCCTGAATCCATCTCCTCAGTGACAAGATTACAAGCACCCACCACAACACTTAGATTTCCCTCTGCCCCCACACCTGGTTTTGGGGACTGAAGTCAGGTCCTTATGTTTGCAAGACAAGCATTTTACTGACCTACTGTGGAATGCTGTGGGACGGTCTGTATGTCAAATTGCTCTGATTGGTCAATAAATAAAACACTGTTTGGCCAGTGGCCAGGCAGGAAGTAGGTGGGACAAGGAGAGAGGAGAATTAGGGGAAGCGGAAGGCTGAGGCGGAGAGACACTGCAGCCGCCGCCATGACCAGCAGCATGTGAAGACGCCGGTAAGCCACCA